AACTATTATTATTTAATTACTTAGTTTAGTTAAATTTTGTCCACTATTATGATGTCAATTAATTGTATAGTTAAAGTACAGCTGGAAGCCTTAGTAGACAATAAATTAAATGTTATAAAACGTTCAAACTTAACTATACTAAAAAAAACTCGGATAAGCACTAGAAGAATATATATTTTTTAAAAATTTTATCGAGATCCTAACTCTGTTGAACAACTTTTATATTCAATAACTAAAAAAATAAGTAAAAAGTTATTATAACTTTAATTACAAATGAAGATAAATATAGTACCTTGTCATATTATGTTTACTAATTTTAATGTGTGCAATTTAAATTTAACTAATAGATTCTAACAATAAGCATTTATTCAAATTCAACTATGACTACATCAGTCAAGTTTTGACGATTAATTGTGTAGCATTAAAAAATGTATTAATAATATAATGAATGGCGTGGTTAATAATGCACTGTTAAAAGTTTTAGAATTTGTGTATTTTTATCTGTAATATGGATCTACCCTAACCAAATAAAGGGTGTTCTAATAAAACTTAACCCTATGTTACTTCATATGTTTTTTGTTGGCCCCAAGAGATACTAGTCCCAGTTCCAAAGATACCATGTATGATATCAATGGGTTAAACATAACACCAACTTTTTAGTCTTTGAACTCTTTTAAACTAATTACTATTAATGTAAAATATTCAATGACACAAAACGGGTTTGATGGAAAATTGAAAACAGATTATTTTTTTAACTATCCGTTAAATTCTATTATAAATTTAAATTGTAACAAATGTTATTCAGTTTACTCGTTGTTTTCATAATTACCTTTATCTCTAATGTAGCTGAAATTCAATATGAGTTTTCTTTAAAACTTCCATGACATGAAATAAAAAATTTACTGTTTGATGTTTAAAATGTTATCGTTTGACAACGTATGCAGTAGTTTTGTTTCATACGAAAGTAGAGTGTAAGAGCAAGTGAGTTTCGTAATAATATTGTTTACTTTTTAGGTCTGTAAATAATATTTTCTCGTCATGTTCTAAACTAAGTTGATGGATTCCCCTAATTGTATGTGTGTTTCGTTTGTTAACTATTCATTGGTACTCAGGTATACGAAGTTAAAGATTGAACGAGCGAGAGAAAATGAGACTAAAACAAACCAAATGAGAACCACATTAAAGAATACAACTTGGTATTTAAAACTTTAATGAATTAAAAACCATTCATATATATTTATTATATATACAATATATTTATAACATTGAACAATAGAAAGACTTTTTTGTGTATTATAAATCATGAAACTATTTTGAGCACTTAAATACAAAGTTTACTTTGTTGTTTATGTACGTGTGGTAAATCGTGAATGTCGTATACAGTGTGTGCTTACCTTGACGGGCGGCCTATTCAGCATTTGACATGACAAAAAAGGCTGTGCTAATCGAATCGTTCCCCTAAAAGGGCCTAACATTAAAAAGGGTATAATAAATACCGGACCTTATGTAAGCCGAACTCTGAAAATCAATCAAATGCACTCAGAGGGTAGGGCTGTACATATTTCTCTTTCATCTCGTACGATATAAAAAAAATAGCAACTTTCAACATGTAGGTAAAGTTTAACAAAACAGTTCCAAAGCTTTTCACTTTAATAACAACTAGAACATAGACCAATTCATTTATAAAACGCATAAGGAAATTAATAACTGAGTTTAACCCGAACCAAATATCTAAAATAAATATTTTTCTGCTTTATCCAAATAATGTTTCATTCCAATTTAAATTATAATGATTTGGAAGGTTTTAATGTTTTCTCATGAAATATCTTCAAGTTTATATCCATTTAATTTTTTCCTTTTTTTTTTGAAACTTGACAAAAATGTCTAGATTTTAAATGGTGAAATAATAAAAATAATACATTTTTGAATTTATTTATTAAGTCAATAATTTAGTTAATAATTGCAGAATTATTAAATCAATGATTGATAATAATTTCTTATAATTTTTAATTTATAGAAAAATAAAATAAACTCTTCATTATGTTATTTATGAATTGAAATGTATTTGTGTTCATCAAATATTCATTCATACGTACTAAGTCAATGTTAGTTTCTAAAGTATAATATCATAAAAGAAGTTCCATAATACTTAAATACACCTGGGACGTTCACTATTCAAATACTTTAAATAAATTGTGGAATCTTTTAAAACTTTACCAAAAATTCTTGTTCACAATATCGGCATTCTTCCATTAATCGGTTGTATCGTTTTTATAATTTTAAAACGCTCCACAAGTTAATGGTTGGCTTGTTGTAAAATGTACTCTTTGTGTGCAAAGAACCTTTACAACAAATAAACATATTGTTTATCTATTACTTTGGATTAAAAAATAGTGTTATGCAATCAAACAGATTTGATCAAAACAAATAGACAATATTAATAACAACCACCTAGAAAATTTACCGACTTCATGATATTATGACTGTTAGGTATACGAGTCTAACCTAACCTAACCTTGAACGCCCAATAAAGTTGGATTTTCGGCTATATCTAGTGCCCTCGGGGTGGCATTTATGAGGGCGATTTCGTGGTGCCGCCTAGTTTCGACGTGCAAGCCTAGGCGATTTAATTGCCGTTAACTTTGAGCATTGGGGATTCTCGAGGACTGTAGCCATTTCATTTATGGCCATGTTTTCAGGAGCTTGTTTTTCTACGGTCCGTGAAAAATAAAAAAAAATAAAAAACAACTGGGGTGATAATCTTTGCTAAATCGCATTGCACAAAGGAAAAAAACTGTTATTTTTCTCCACTATATACGAGACAGAGTTGTACAAAAACCAAATCCAGTTTTTCGTACACATTGGACTTTCATTTTCTACCCCTAACAATCCATCCCTTCGTTATCATCCTCGGCAGCTTTGTTTTTCATTACGGACCAGCCGACCGACTTTAAGCGGATTTATTACCCGAAGCCAAGAATGGTGAGACACGGGTAGTGGTGGAGGAGAAGGGAGAAAAAAAAGAAACAAGAAGTTTCGGATATCCGACTACGAGCACCCGTAATCTTATTAGCAGCTATATTTCGTAATCCAAAGAGAAAGAAACGACTGTACGTATATAATAATATATATAAATATATGTATTATATGAATCGTGTACTCATATACAATACAAACGAGAAAAGTTAATCATTCTAAAACGATCATTGATAATCTTCAATTGTAATTTTCCGTGACGATTTTAAATAACAACTTTATCGTAATTGTATTTATATAATATGAAATAACATACATATTACATAACAAAATGTATATACATTATTATAAAATAGAAGAAGATAATATTGTTATAAGATCATTCGTTCGGCTTATCACAGACGCATACATAATATTATTGTTCCTTCGTAATTGCAGTATATTAAATGAGTTATTGGTTTTCGACGTCTCAGAACTCATCAATGAAACATATTTTTAATCAATGGTTGCAGTTTGTTCATAACATTTTTCTCGTGAGTCTAATAGTTACAATTCATTCATTTTCGATTTATAACACTTGGTTCCTGTGCTAGCTACACTTAATTATAAATATTTATAATCAGTGACGTAGACAAAAGGGTTTTGGGTGTTTAATCTCCTCCGATATTGCTTTCCCCACATAATAAATGTATTATCTATACACACAAATTGTAAAAAACTTGGTTGAATTTATATATGAACACCCCTCCCTTTCATCATCTTTGTTTACTATTTATAATACAAGTATATTATATAATTCTTGATAACGTATAGACTAAGTTACTTTGACGAAGTTCAATAGGTATGGAACTATAACATTCATAAAGCATAAATAAAATATATTTGACTTCTCCTACCGTATATTATGTAAATTATTAGCTAAAAAATGTAATTGTGTACGATTATAATTTGGACGTTTGATTATGTTTATGTTATTACATGTCGTATAATGTTCAATAATATAAAATTAATTTTTCATGAAAAATCGAAGCCACACGTAAAATTAAACACTGTACAAGTACAATAGGTACACTTGAATACTTAAAAGGAGATTGATCGCTGATATGTATATAATAACACGCAGAGCACACGTGTTTAATTTACAAAAATATTATCCGATAATTCAAATGAAAGACAAACCTGACAAACAATATGATGTAAACATGATAATAATAGAAACAAACAATAAAGATTTACTGAGCACGTCATTTCCAGAGTGAATAACAATTTTATATTCATTGAAAAAGAATCCATCGAACAAGACTTGTATAGGTATATAGAAAATAATTTACGAGAAAAATGATTGAAAAGGGAGTTATTCTTTCCAGCCGTAAATTACATAGGCCATTGAAAAAAAATGCGAATAACAGAAATGTCAATTTTATTTATTTGAACAGTAGGTAAAATTTAAAATAAAAAAAAACCAACAATACTAATGAGTCATAAATATAACAATGAGTTTCTGGAATTGTACTGATATTTAAATTAAAACAATTGATCAATGTTATCTTTGAAATAAATATTTTATTTCACAGGCTGTCAAGGAAATAAACGTTTCAATATTTGTTTTATTCATTATAAGACTGAAGTTTTTCTTTTATTGGAGAAAATAACCACTAACTGATATTATTCTAAATGTTAATGACGAAAACTTACTGAATGAATCTTATGGACCGAATTAGGCTTTTGACTTAGTATGAAAGCAGTTAAAAGTTTTCAAACCAGCAGCTGTATACAGCTCGACTTTGTGATATTCCTAAAATACAATGGTTTTCGAGAGGATAGGTAATAATAAAGCAGCAGTTTAATTTTAAAAACTTTCTTTTTGTTCGATCCTATTTTTATTCGGTCTTATACAGGAAGTTTTCGGGAAAAATTTGCGCAACCAAATTACTTACAGGAAACTTTTCAAATAATAACTATATTCTTTAAATAATAACAAATAATTTTTCCTACATCAAAATCAAAAATTTCCGTTGACTTACCGTGCATTCTGGGGTCCCACTGACTTGACTTCATACGATGAGCTAGCTGTGATCCTATGGTCTGGAATTTTGCTGAACTCCATACCAAGCTGTGAACGACATTCTTCTAAACAATAATAATACAATATTAATTAATGATAATTAAAAACAAAATTTAATTAAAATGTTGTTTTTACTAAAGACTCAAACATATTATAATATTTCATCTATATTGATAATTGTCCTACCTATCTACTATAGACGGTTTTAAAGTAAAGTTTATTACTTTGACTAAATAAATGCAAATTGCATTCCCTCATCTATACCTAGATAATATTAACTCCAAATAGTCGAAACTTATACGCAGGAAGCAACCAATTATGGACGATTTCCCATCAAACGATTCACGTTATGAAGGTATTTTGATATGTTAATAACTTATTTTGGTACTTACATGAGTATCTAGATTGTTTTTCTTCTTTCCGTTAGGTAGTAAAAAAAAAGTTTATATTGAACTACATCAGATATTGGTATTGTTAGTTTTATTACTTACATACAATATTGATTAAAACTTTTATTTAGAGTACCTACTGTTTTTAATTAATAGTATGTTAAATAGGTGAAAATTATTTTTATTTTTATAAATACACCACAAATCGCTTTTAAGTTGTAAGTAACTATATTACTATTCTATAAATAGGAAATACAAAAAGGGAAAAATATGCAATGCTTTAGTTCGTTTTAAAATGGTTAAGGTATTTTTGGAGACAAGTTTAAAAAATATTTTCGCTCACGAAGCTCAGAAACTTTTTATATACGAATGTTATTACCACTTCAAAAGCATTGAAAATTATCTTTTCGTTTCCATTTTTTTTTTTGTGTGTGCGTGCTCCTACACGTGGGGTATTTTTATGGATCTACGATTAAATTAGGGGCCCTAATATTCAAAATTATGAACTGTATAATGTATAAGTAAAATAGTGCATATTTTATGTTTTGTTAGGTATTTTATGATCGGTTATGAAAACATTTTACATATAAGTTATTTAATATTACAATATAAACGTCGATTGAAATATAAAATATTTTTTAAACTAGGTATAAGAAACAGTAACAGTAACAGTTTATAATATTTTAGAAAAATAAAACAATTTCAGAATGCCAACGATATAATCAGTGTCAAGGATTAAAAAAAAAATGAACAAAAGTTTACCATTATTTTTTTTGATTTATTGTTTATAAAAACATGGTAGTATGTGACTTTTGAAACGAATGTAATTCTTCCCTCGGGTAACACATATACGAATAATGTTAGGCAAACCTTGCGTGTGTTTCAACTCGGTCCCTTCAAGTCCAATTTCTGGGAAACGTTTCGAAAAGAACCATTAAGACCGTTGACCTTTTAATCGTACCCCTTGAAACAAAAAGCTATTCCAAAACGTCGGTAGGGACAAACAAAGAGGTGGGGGTTCTTATCTTCCCTAACAGTCACACGTAAATGCAGAAAACTTTCCATAGGAACAAACACTGATAGTACCGATTTTAACGGTTCTACATACGCCACCGGTGAACTTAATATTCACCCGACGGCGAAATAATGTAATGCTGTGCCACCCCTCGGATGAATATTTCCACGTTCTGTATATTGATATGATTTCAAAGTTATGGAAAAAAAACATCGGCCAAAAAGGCGATGGATTTGTATTCACCGAACGTTTCCTCCCTTACATTCTACCTAACCGACTCTATTTCAACTATTTTTTTTTTTTTTGGTCACTTTTCTCACTACAGCGGGCTGCGGTTAGTTAGGCGATTATAACCGGATGTGCCAAAATGGCGAAAACCACACTGCAGAATTTCATCGCACTTCATGCGTGTTCGGAGTTCAAAAGGATACATAATTTAAATTTGTTTTATTTTTCATTTGTTTTGGAAATCCACGGAGAGAAATTGAGTTACGACAACTATACAAATTCTTTGAACAACCCTATTGCACTGATACGGTTTCAAAATATAAAAATAGAAATGAAATGTAATAACTATACCAAATAAATACATCCACGTTTGGAAAAGTATTTCAAATAAGGTTCCCCAAAATATAAATGACTACAAAACTTGATAAAACAATATTCAAAAATCTAATATGCAAAAGTTGTTTAAGTATAAAATATCAATAATACCGTGAACAATATCAATAGTAAGTTTATAATATTATTTTGTTAGATAAAATACTAGTAAATACGTGCATTGTAAATATTAGTTATATTTATTTAAAAAACATTTTCAGAACAAATAAAGCAAAATTACCATAACTGGTAAGATGTATCAAACAAAATTTATTGTGCTTTTCTTGAACCAACCTAAATAATTATTTATTTAACTCGATACTTTTTATATTAACATATGAGTTTCAAATCAAGTATATCATGGTTTATTCATACGTTAAAAGATTAATCTTTGCAAAACAAATTAATATCATGACGTTGAAAAACGAGTGTATTACCTAAATATTTGGTTAAAAATAAAACGCGTTTGAGCCTAATTGAATATAACACACGTTACTACAAATTCCTGGAAGTGACATAAAATAAATCATATATAAATCTATTTTATAATCCAGAAATATGAGCAGCAATTTAGTGGGAGGAAAATGATTATTTTGTATTTTAGAAAAATTGGTATTAGAATCAACGAAACGAACAACCATCTTACACTTAATTAATACATTTTATTAATACGACGTAAGTTATTCATCAAAAGAAGTGACAAGCGAGTATAACACTTACTCATTTCTCTGGGGCATCAGCTGTTATAAAGAGAACATACCACGATAGACGTCACTTTCGTGAGATTTCCTGTTGAGTATGTTTGATATATTTTGAATGCTCAAATTGCTACGGGTTAATCATTATACGCTTATTAGGGCACGTCAAAAATTTGATCGGATTATACACATAGGTACATATTATTAAATAAAATGAAATATAATGATAAGACTAATTTCTATATTAATAGCACTTGTAGATATAAATTTACAGCATCAATAAGTTGCTACTGTAATAGATGAAATGAATTATAAAAGCAAATGCTTCGAGCTGTTATGATTATAAAATATTCACGTAGTCCCTGACTTACTTAATTTATTATATTCTTTTACGATCTAATAAAAATAATATTATTCGTTTATTATGTGCCAAAATTAGTATGATGAAAAAAAACAATGTATACAATTTATACGCATTGTTTTTTATCAGAATAAATATATTCTTATCATAAAATACAAAAAAATCGATATAGTCAAATAATCGAACAAGTACTTGTTGATGCACATTTCATATATCTGATTTAAGAATAAAACAAATGAATTTAATGTATATTTTATGTCATATTACCTATATTATCTTGTATCAACGTTATTGGCATGGCTTCAAAATGTTTAAATATAATCAAATAACATCAGCTGTTACGTTGCCCTTACCCCACGCCATGGCGAAACCTAACATATAAACTGTAATAAGATAAAGTCCTTTAATCGTAAGCCCATTCTGTGAATTTGTAAATTGACTGAATTTATCGAAAGAATTAGGTTTTATGCTCTGAACTTTACCCTTCACCCCTCCATCTTCAAAATGACTCCAAACAAATTGTAAGTTAAAATAATAATTGACATAAGTTGTGTTTTCATTCTCAAAATTTAGAGGTTGCTACAACAATTTTAACTTACAATTTCTTTGGAGCGATTTTGCTGTTGTGATAAAGAAAGGGAAACTGCAAAAGCATACTTTAACAGCTCCCCGCCGGTCCCTGGGGTACGGTCAACTTACAAATTCCGGGAACGAACATACAATTACTTATAACTAAAGAGCTATAACTTACAATTAGCTTGTATAACTTTATGTAACGGTAATGGCGTAATTCCTGTGACGAGGAGGGGCTAACTATATTCACACACACACGTACTTAATTAAATAAGACCATTTTTGACATAAAGTTACATAATATATTTTAATGTTCAATACTTGACTTAAGCGTTCAAACGACACATCACATTCAAGTACAATAACGAAGGCACTTTTACGATACACCGTTAGCGAAAACATCTATTTTAGATTCTATAGTGACGCAGTGCATAAATTATTTATCCCTGCTTTTGCAGTAAATAAATTATTATCCTGCAAGACGAGGAGTGGTTAAAATTAATTTAATTTCGTTCGCATAGACAAATAGACGTAGGGCACATACACACCTACATATATATATATATATATACATAATATAATATATATAGAGAGAGCACGGGGGTGGCGGTTTAGCGGCGAGCGCCCCTTTTGTATACGTTAACCCAATTTCCGAAATCAAGTAACTCCGCGCGATGGTACTTACAACCCGCCGACCATTAAATTCGGTACACTGCAATGCCGTCCCCGGGAGCTCCAAAAGCATAACTTGTTTCGCAAACACTCGTATCAACACGTATTATCTATACATATATATATGCACATGTATACGCGTGTATACCCGGCATCGTAGACCCGAGCATATGCTTGTTACTGCTGCTGCAGAGTGTTGCTAGAGGAGTTTATTCAATAGACATAGACTGGCGAACGTCCCACCGGGTCTCGCAGAAGTTTTACACGCGTGCCCGGGACGACAAAGCACAGGAGAATAAAATTCGAGAATGCAAAACTCGACGACGATGGTGTAGACGCGTTGCTCGAATTCGACGGGCAAATTTTAATGAATATGTATGAGCTCGAGCTGACCGCGTCGCGATGTTCCCCCGGGAGACTTGGGTGTGTGTGTGTGTGTGTGTGTGTGTGTGTGTGTGTGTGTGTGTGTGTGTGTGTGTGTGTGTGTGTGTGTGTGTGTGTATAAGGAAGTGTAACGCGTAAGCCCCGTAGTCGTATAAAAACTTTACACAATCAACAAAAGTAATCTCGACCTCCGGCCCGACAACATACATGTACAATATGTATATATATATATATATATATATCGGTGGAAATCGGTGGGACGAAGGTTTAACCCCGAAAACGTCTTCCAAGCACTCCTTGAAAATAATTTTAATATTTTCTTCTCTACCCTAACTTACCTATAATAGCAACTATAAAGCTTATATAAAAAGTA